TAGAGAGACCTGAAAGAACTATTTGCGGATAGCACGAAATCGAATCAAACGATTGCTTAGCCACTCCAGCCATGCTCTGTTATTGTAAAAAAATCAATAAAATCTTAGTAAGGACTATGGAAGATGTGGCATAGAGTAAAACAGGTACAGTCTGTTCTCTCTTGCCTACTACAACTACTACAAGTAGCATAAGTAACAAAAATTTCGCTAATATGCTATGAGGCAGAATGTATAAGGACTGAGGCAGAATGTATAACTGTATTAATAAATACCCTACATTCTAAGCAAATTAATAAGTTATACAATTATATTGACAGAAACGCATTCCTTAAAACAGCCGCATTCAAGTCATGTCTACCTACATAACTGACAACATTTCGCAACCTTTTATTAAAAATGAAAGATGAATTATTATAACTCGACCAATAAATTTAATAATAAGCAATAATTAAATCAGGTCACATACAGTATAATATGTATGTGTAGAGTAATATTTGCTTTAATTATGGCAAAATGTTTCATTAAAACAAAATTCGTGGAAAATTAATTACCGTAGTAGGTAAGTGTCGTAAGGGGTTGAATTAAAATAACATAATGTGGTAAATTTGTACCTTAAAACGTGTCAATAATTCAGTATTTATTATTAATTTAATATTGTATATATTTTGTGAGAGGAAAATCATTAAATTACTTCTCCCGCCCATGGAGAGCAGGAGTGACTGTCAGTCTCTTACTGACTAAAAACCCCCCTTTCCTTCTCCTGCTCTAGGCCGAGGCTGCGGTGCCTCATTGCTCTTGCCCGCAACCCCAGTAAACATACTCCAATGGTACAATATTTTTGTTGCTTATTATCGATCAAAAGTAACAGCTTTAGAATGATTTAATTTTGATTGAAGATACATTTTAATTTTTATTTAAGGCCGGCTACGCTCTCGAACCTAGTTTCATGTTGCCATCCACCATCAGGTAATCTGGATGCTCGTTAGCCAAATAAAAGTAAGAAACAAATAGCGCATTTCATAAAAAAGACATATTCGTACGGAATTGTGGTTAACACGTTTGTTTCATTTCTTCTTTAAAACTATCTATTTAAATGTTAAAATGATCCTTATCTTTACATTAACGTCAACTAGAAACGGTAGCACAAGTAAAAAATAATATTTCATCATAATAAGTAAGATTATTAAAAAATATATGTTAGTAGTTAGATTTTACGACGCAATCACAGTCCATATTGATTATCGCGGTAACGACCGTCATTCCCAACTGATTGTATATAACAATACAATTTCACTTCTTTAAACATGCTGAAATAAAGATTGTGTAATAAAATATTTCCATGCTGCGTTCACACTGGCCTAGTATTTAGTATATATAGTACTTAGTAAAAGTAAAAAATCATTTATTTTCCACATTAATAAAAATACATAATTGCCATTTTTAACATGGAGTGGACTGGAGCCTAAACTAGGATAACCCTGTATTTCAGGACTCCAGGTGTTCCTCCCGTGGCAAGTGAGTTGGTACAGTAATATATTATTATGAATGGGTGTGTGCTGTGTGAGTGTTGTGTGTGTATGTTGTGTGTGTGATGAGTCAGCGTTTGGTTGCACTTATATACTTATGGGAGTGGGTATGTATTGTGTATGTGTGCATGAATTCTACAGTACTTATATTGACAGTTTTCAAATGCATACTACAAAACTAACTTACAAAGCAGGTATCCTAATGTACAAAACGCTGTTATTGTTGACATGTTGTTATCTATACGAGGAGTTATTTTCAGTCATTTTATCAGCCACTTCAGCAGTAATTTGCTACATAACCCTACATAATAATATATTTATTATAATAGCTATATTTCTAGTCAATATTCATATCTTTAAACAATCATTTCAAGTTAATCTATACTATCTATACTAATATTATAAAGAAGTAAAATTTGTAAGTTTGTATGTTTGTAAGTTTGTATGTAGGGGGTAATCTTTGGAACCGCTGGTCGGATTGGCAAAATTCTTTCACTGATAGATAGCTACAATGTTCCTGAGTGCTATAGGCTGTAAAACATCACGCTACAATCAAATGAAGCTGAGCAGAGGGTGAAACCGCGCGAGAGTAGAAGAGTTTGTTTGTTGGAATACGCTAATCTCCGGAACTACGGCTTCGAATTGAACAATTCCTTCTGTGTTCCTTAATCAATTTATCGAGGAAGGCTGGGCTATAAAGCATCACGTTAAGATCTGTAGGAGTCGACCAGCGTGTGAAACCGCGCGAGAGTAGCTAGTCAATTATAATTTTCAATAATAAAATAGATGTGAGTATCAGCCATTATTATTCATCACTGGCAAAGATTTAGGACAGTAACAGTGTCTCGCGTCAGCATCGCTGACCAAGATAAGTAAACGCGCCTCTAAAATCGATTATAAAAAAAATGTTTTATTAATCACCATTATTATAGCTTCGATATTAAAACCTCATTTTTGTAGGTCGAATAAATAGGAACACGTACAAGTGAGAATGAAAGAAAACAAAAGTGAAAGTTTTAAGAAAAAATGATTAATTCCAAATTTGAATTTATTTGCGTATCGAAATTCAATTCGATATGAGAATTTTTTTACGTAGGAAGTTGTAACGACTTTTGAATAGTTAAAAGCTGGATTATAGGTTAGTAAACCGGTATCGTTTGAACCAAATTGAACTGTAATTAAATATTTTAAGGTAAGATTTGATATAACTTTTTGGGCTACGTAAGGTATGATAATAATAGTCCCGCCCTCTATCAATGGGGCTAATTATACAGCTAGTTAAAGGTAGGTTTAAGATATAAAAAATTACAGTGGTTAACTAAAAGTCTTTATTTAATCTTCGATTGGTGGCATTAAATTCCTTGATTACGCGAGACACTGAGTACAAGTGAGTATGCTCAAGAGTCAAAAAATCAAATTTGGAATTGCTAAATAAATCTTAGTGGATTGCGCAGGCAGGCAGATGACAGTGTTTCTCTTTGAAAAATATTGACGCCAAGGTAAACAATATTCAATTTAATCTAATAAGGACACGAGATACAACGATCTTGAGATATGGACATGATAAGTAAATAAAAACTATTTCTATCATATCGACTTTGACAGCCTGCGTAACTAACAATATCTTTACCTGTATCTGCAAGACTTTCGAAAAGATATGTCCTAAAAAAACCTTCTACCATGTGTGTTATCGACAAACAGATAAATAATAACAGTTACATTTTAACACACTTTTCCCGCCTAAATGCCCTTCCACAGATTAAAATTGTAACTTGCCACAGCACACGAATTGTCTATTGTTGCGTGTAGAAATCTACACGTCATTATCTGTAACAGAGTACTGGCTGGTGGCAATGAAACCATTACTCATTGTCTATTCCAATCGATGAAAGATATATTGCGAGAAAAATGGGCCTGTACGTGATATAAGTGATTAGGTACATACCAGGTTCGTAAGAGAAACACTCATTATAAATTCATGTTCGTTTTGCTTGTATCTTTGAAAAAAATTCAGAGTACATGTTGGCTCGTTGGAAGATCGGGACGCAGATTGTTAATTATGAGGAATTAATGTTAGTAAAGAGTTTTAAAGAAATGGAAACAAAAGAGAGACTATTCTTTGAATTCACTATACCTACATAGCATGTATCACATCTGAACATTAAGCACATTTCACAATAGGTAAGTACATAAAGTATGCGGACGAGGCATGCAAGTGAATATAACCTTTTAATTATCGACATACTTGCGAAGTCACACTAATAACATTAACGTGTAAACACATGCGTCAACACGACTAAATTCTAACATCCATAGTTTATTTAATGTTTTACAAATCGTAAAACTTGAGAAAATCACAATAGTATATCAAAACATGTTTCGTCGACGCCGACGTCTGAGACAGGACGAGACCACCATGACAGTGCGTTGCGATACCGCAATGAAATTACATTGACGCAGAGCAATACAAACGCATTGAATGGCACCGCAGAGGTTTGCGTTGCAATATTGCACCGCGACACTTACAACAAAATAAAACGACAACAAGTCGTACAATAGGACTCTTGATGTCGGCTTTACCTAGTTTTTTCTTCTCTATACTAATATAATAAAGAGGTAAAATTTGTAAGCTTGTATGTAGGGAAACCTGAGAGCTATAGGCTATTAAACATCATCATACGACCGTTAGGAACCGAGCAGCGAGTGAAACAGCGCGGGAGCAGCGCGTTATATATAATTTTGACATATTAAAAGTGCTGTTTTATGGCCTATTTGCGAAAATAATTTCATTGATGTGTAGGTTTGTAAACGCAACAACGACTCAGGCGAAAATCTTAGCATTAGGTATTTTTAAAACGCAACAAAAAGTTTAAATCATTTACGCGACGCCGTCAATTTTTGCGATGCGAATCGCCGTGTCGTGCGGCGTTCCCTCGGCCTCCCTTCGTAGCACAATATGAACAATACTCATTACACTTCAATATTTTCTTGAAGATGAACCGTTGATAAAGTACCGGAATATTACCTCGTTCTCTGGTCACTGTTGTGTTTCATTTTATGGAGGATCCAAAGAGTTATTCGTTTAACTTGTCGCGATCAACTAATCTACGTTTATTTTCATGTTTGTGAGTTCTACGAAATTAACTTGAAGTAGGTAAATATGGCACATAAAAAAGGAAAGTCCAATCGATATCCCGCAATAAATGGTATTGCGCAGAAATAATGATACCTACATAAACAGCAACTCTACAGGCTTTTTTTAAGAATTGAAAATGATATTTTATTTAATCACTTCTTCCGCTATGGGCGGGTAGACACTGTCTTCTGATTAATCACAACGTTACTTTTCTCTTTCTCCTACTTCGAGCGGAACATTCTTGTGCTTGGATTCGGAATTTTCATTCCTTATCTATAATAATATTTACAAAAACAGAGATACCATTTTAATTTTTTTGTGTGACATTTCTTTCTATGACAGATAGCATTTCTACTCCTATAATTTCGTAATTACACAAATAATACATTATGACATCTACTAGTAGGTACTACGTTGCATTGGACTAAAGCAAGCGCAATATTGTACAAAATCAAACAAGAACTGTGAGTACACACCGTTGCCTTTGCACACAATAATTATCATATCCACACACATTCCCCACACCTTTACATAACATAACAAAAAGCTGATGTTTCCGTACATATTACTAGTTTATCGGCAATAATTACACTCAAGAAAGGCACGAAGCAAAAGATAAGTCTTATAACATTTTTTGATTTGGAATATAACAGATATCTGGGAGTAAAGACATTAGAGCAGTAAGTTGTATGTCCCCGTTTTAATTAATATTTTTGTAATTTTAGTGCGCTGCCCTTAAAAACTATAAAGAAAACTAAAAGAAGATATTAGAGCATAATTGTAAAATGACATAAAAGACACATATACATATCAAAAGAAGACTAACAATAAAGTCATTTAAACAATTAAAACGTCACATTCACACAAACCTTCTCCAATTTCTTATATCATGACAATAACACTTAGTTGCGCGTGAGTCGCGCGCGCGTTCACGTAACGACTACGCATGCGTAACAACGCGCCAATATGGCCGCGTTAATAAACACGCGCGCAGCGACAATTAAACAAGAAAATTACGCAATTCTTAGGCGTCTGTCTCGACTGATACTCATTTTAATGATGACTGGAGACGATTGGGTGACATATTAGTTCGTCGGAATGTTGAATCATGCTATTATTTGGTTGGGTAACTGGTTAGAAGTTGAACTATTAGAATTTAATGAATAGTTAAAGAATTTGAGAATCTTTAATTAGAAACGTCATGGAAAATCGAAAACACTCATTATTTTTATGGTTACTGTTAATAAGACTAAATAACTTTATTAGTATGATAGATATGTGTTAATTGCAAAGACAATCTTAAGATATTTTGTATTAGGACAATCACTAAATATTATTGAAGAACAATCCAACATTTTAATATTGATCTTTCACATTACCAATATTAAAACCAAAACTATTACCTAAAACTAAGCGCCCCTTTAAATCCGGTATTAAAGCAGTTATGTAAACAAGGAAGTTGCCTGTATAATAAAACGGTAAACAATGTTATGATCCTACACCATTCCTAAGTATCGTGTGTTCTACGTTTCTGTTGTAAACATAAATTTGGAGAAATTATGATAATGGATAACATCCGTAGTGATATTTGGTTGCAAGATATTTATGGGCTAAAAGTAGAAAGGTATCCAATCCGTCATAAACACATATCGAATCAAAATAGTGATCGTGGATGATTATCAATGAAAACATAAACATAGTACTTGTATATGATGCCATGTTATTTATTACTTTTACTTTAAGCGAGAAGTAGTTTCAGATTCTTGCTGACTAAACACCACCCCGTTCCTTCCCCTGCTCCAGGTCGAGACCGAGACTAATGAAAGCGACTTTTTTGTTTGAATTAATTTTTGAGTTTAAACTATAGTCAACTGGGGTAAAAAAGCTTAAGAATTACTCAGAACTATATGAATAAGCTAAGACAGAAAACCAATTCGTATGCAATAATTTCCATTACACAAATAAATAATCACAATACTAGAAACGTACTTATTAACCCTGAACGCGACGATTGCCACGCACGACCGCGGTTCGTGCAAGAATCGCTCCACGATCCTGCTTGTATGGTCCCCGCATACTAATAGCCACAACTACCATATAAACATTAGGTGTATTACCCATACCCACTATTATGGGATGCGTGCGTGATACTTGTCGTGATGATCAAATGCTTTGATGACTTGATCACGCATATTTCTTTTAAGTATGGGCTTGTTCGATCATTGTATGTTCTGGCATCTTGTTTCTTGGACTTCAATTAAGCTTTCGATTGGATAATATTGTTTTGTTTGGGTGCAACTTATGTCATATTTTTTATACGTCCAGAACCGTGTATGTGTGTGTGTTGCAAAATATAGGTGGAAGCCGTCCCAAAATAAAAATATATGAGATCAGTTGTTTCTGGAATTCTTCGTTAAAATTTTCTCACGAATCGCAAGTTAAAGCTTGTGAGCCCTTTTTGCAAAAGAGTGACATAAATAAATCCGCCTAACGGAAGAGCTTTGAATTCTTTTGGAGATCCTCCAAGCGCCACTTAATCTGTCTAAATTATGAATACCATATTAAGATAACTTGGCGCCTTTAGTTTATCTAAATTGGTATCCACATTGTGATAAATTACGACGTCAACTTGAAATGTCTTTTTGAAGATTATACTAAGCTTTTGTATTGTCATAAAAGGTTTGGTGGTCCTTATTTTATAGACGCCTATAAGGTCGGCAGAAGAAGGACTTCATTATGACGATCATTTATACTGAGTCTATTGGGCGTGGTGCGTTAGACATTTTGTAAGATGACTGGATCAAAAACTTGTATGTCCTATCAATGAAACATCGTAAACAACTACACAAGGATACATTACATTAATCGCTTATTGTTAAACATGTTTGTAAATATGTCTGTCTGAATGCATCTCCGTTCATCCGCAACGGACGGACAAAACGATCCTGGTTCAACGTTTAGTCGGGTACATGAACAACTCCGGGTGCAACGACCGAGCACGTAGCATGATTGGGGGTGCCTACAATTGGCGGACGACGGGTTAAATTATGGTCACAGACGACAGATTCGTCACTGTGTCTAAGTATAGAGCGGCCTTGTTTGGATAACCGTTAAATCATCAATTAGGTTTTATTTTTCTTGTTAGATAATATTCTCGCAAAGTATATTGGTCCTTCTGTACGAACGTAGCAATGTGATTATTATTTTTTGCTACAACAAAAAAGGTTACAGGTCAATTATATGATAGTTAGTTTTGCTCATAATTATACCTTTGGTTGTTCGAGTGAGACCTTTAGACCATCACCTTTCGCCTTTACTATTTTTTTCATCATTTTCTTGTTATGACTATAAAAAGGGACAGAAAAAACTTGCCCGTATTAGTAACACTAATATTTATCCATTTTAATCCCTTCGTGTACAATACAGTGTTACCAAAACGGCAAAACATTATGGAACAATTACCATTACGCGCTATTAAAACCAAACATAAAACTATTGTATTTTCACATTAATGTTTTAACCAGCTATATTTGTAACTTAATTAGAATTTCCAACTAAGTTTTACATACAATTGTAGTAAAAGGCAAAAAAGTTAGAGTCTGCCAAGAGTCATCTTTTCTAACAGAATTCTACTAATAGAAATAGACTTAAAGCAATAAGGACTAACACAGATGCCTCTAATGTCAAGTTCAAGGTCACGACATTGAATCCGATCTCATGCATAATGGAGGCACAGCCTACACGACTGACATAATTGGTTCTCTTTATAAAATCGTGATCCGTATAAGATTTATGATATAAGAAAACTTACATGTCAATAAACCGAACAGCGTGGTGACGCTATTTTTCTTCAAAAACCTTAGTGAAGTCTCATCGATGCACTTCACTTTTATGCACTAGCTCTGTGGACAAATGAAAAAATATGGTTAGTTTCTATGGTTATTACCAACTTCTTTTTAAAACAATTTCCATTTTCAACTATTTCTTTTTATACAGTTTTTGTCAAACCGAAGCATTCCATCTCAAAGCAGCCCATCTCAAAAAAAACAGGGACTTTTTAACATAGTCGTTGTTCACCTACCATACTATAAAACAATACATACGTGTTTATGCAATAAACCGACGAAAAGTTCAAAAGTTCCGGAATACAAAACAATTTTTATAGTTTATTTAAAAAAATATTATAATCCCATATTTCACACGCGTCCATTCGCTAGCTATAGTTTATCGCAACTGACAGAATAGAACGGGACTGCCGGCGGAGGTAGTTTGCGTTTTACCGTCATTTCTTTTTTCGTATCCTTCCTATTATAATGAAGGATCTATTTCCACATCAGATTAAAAACAATTAAATTATGACCTATCAATAAAACTCTGTATCCTATGTATTGGACGTTTCCTTTCCGAATCTCAAGGATGAAAGGATTAACTAAGCCAGTAATTACATAAGCACTAAATTGTTAGCGGACTTAGTTTAGTTTTAGTTGGAGTTTTGGATGTGAAAATATTGTGGAAAATTACTTCATGAAGACTGTACTAACATATACTGCATTATTGATTTATCCAATGATTGCAAAAGTATCAAGTTTACAAAATATCAAAACTACCAAAATTTGTAGCAGAATTTTCTGGAACTCACCCAAGGTTAATTTGCACGTTTCTATTCAAACAAAAAATAGACCTCAGATGCTTGAATGCGAACAAGGGTTCTTTTGTCTTTGGGGGGATGAAAAACGGGGTGGAACATAATAATCCCAAAGTCCTAGTGGCCTACATAACATTTATGGGGAGGATAAACAAAGTACCCAGGATTATCTGTATGAGCCGTGTGATTAATGCATCACAGCGAATATCATTTATAATAATGAGTATTTTGCGACACATAATAATATCCATTTCCAAACACATTGAAAAAGGCTAAAACAATTATACCTGGTAACATATTATAGTTAGCAATAACTAGATATAGATGACGTACAGGAAAAAATCGCCAATAACTATCTATCTATTTTGTGCACAATGACAGAGCCCGGATTTAAACAATGTCAAGCTGTTCAAGCTTAGATTATTTTAGACAAGCTCTGATGCTTTCTGGGACCTGCAATGATACATTCAGGTGATAAGAAATATGAACAGAGATTACAAATAGGTTTTAAAGTTTTCTTTAAATGCCCAAAACATCACGTATGCAGATAGAAGCACAATCTTATTTCATCTGTTACTGCCCTCTTCATCATCAACCTATAATCACCACGCTTGCTCAAAGCAGATTGGCGATTTCCAACTTATAATTAGAAATTATAAGTCCAGGTTTCCTCGCTATGTTTCCCTTCACCGTATGTCAGTGGTGCCAAAATAATCATAGAAAATACATCTAATGATTTTGCCCTCTGCTTTTAGTTAAAGCAGAAAAGAGAAGATTACTCTTTAACCAGACCTTAAGGGCAATAGTTTTCGTTAAACACGACACTAGACAAATGGAGAGAACCTATTAAGCATTTACTTAAGTAAATTAGGCCGCGCCCATTAGACAGGGACAAGTTTAAAGCATTTAAGACAGTAATGACAGACACGTTTCTGTAAGTAGTATTTAAGGAAGGTAGTAATTAATACCGCTTTAATTTAACGTTTTTATACGGACCTACTCGTTCCTATAACGTAGGTATATCCTAGCCACAAAACATTAATAGCTATTTAGTTTTTGTATCATCGTCAGCATAATCAGTTCGCTTCTCTCCACTATCAGACATAGACTTCTTAGCTCTCCACATCGTGGCACAGCCAGTTATTTTACAGGACATTATCACCCTACCTATTATAACCAACTAGTTATGATTTTTTTCGAATTTGACAACCGTTTTTGTAGCATTTCAATTTAAACATGTTTGGAAAAGATAAAACTAGTTTCCGAACTTCACCCCTCGAAACAAACTTACACAAGTCAAGCTAACCAAGACGCCATGTTTGAACCATCTGCCTACTGCAGCTGCACACACCAAAGTTAAACTAATTCAAACCAAGTGACCTTTATACTATCTACGATATACATATACTTGGGCTTACAGCTCATCCCGCAAACAGGGCAAATCTTGACAATAGCTGTCCTTGGCCAGCCCTCATCTCAACATCCATTCATAACATACTTCATAAACTTTCTCTAAAAAACCTACTTTACAACCAGACCCTTAAAGTCTAATATGCAATAACGTCTTGTAGCGGTTAAGCTGTTTTAGTAGGAATCAGTGGGGTTTTTAATGATCAGGGGAAACGGAATAGGCTCATCGTTTGGAGAATTTCTCGCTCATGATAATATTGTGTACGTAGGTAGGTACGTATATAGGTACCAACGGAGAGCGCGTTTGATAAATGGATAAGATGGGTAGCTAAATGTTTTAGTAAGTCAGGTATACCTTTAACATTTAGGGGTCGATTTGCAGATGTTACATTTTTCAAGATTGAAATATTTTTTAGGGTGCATGTAAGGGGCTCGGTGGAGTTGTATATAATAAGTTGTAATGTATCTTTCAATAAACACAATATGATACACGATATTTTACAAGGAAAGATATTATGCTCATATCTCCTCTCTTCCTACTTATGTAGATCTGATTAGTTAATGTAACATTCCAAGATTTTAATTAAAAACGCAATCCTTAGAAATCATTCATATCCATAGAAACAACAACGTTACTTGAATTTATTGATCAGTTTGCTTAAAACTAGAACACAAGCCAGTATCATCAAGCATCTACAAGGCCTATGGGGCTATGAACCTTAACTAAGAACTGGAGACAAAAAATGCATACCCGAAAAGAGAATTTTAGTAATAGAAGTAAAATCTACCTTCAAAAAACAAACAAATAACAAGTTGAACATGTATTTTCATGTAGTCACATAAAACCCTGTTTGCTAGCAAATGGATAAGCTGCGTCGAGGCCAAGAGTCCACTAAGTCTGCGGCGACCGCAATCCGCTAAATTGTATTAGCGCAAGCGACCGTGCCGGTTGCTATGGCATTACTTGGGAACGGGTTTAGACAAGAAGTTGCGGGCGTATGTGAAACAATCGAGAGGGTATCGGTCAGGGTAAATATTGAATAGTTATAGTGCAAAGATATAAGCAATACATTATATCACTATGTAAATGTCCCAAAACTGGATAAATCATTGATTAGCACAGAACCACATGACAGCGTAATGAAGATAGATGAAGCGAAGGTTTCAGTAGCATAAGATATTTACAGAGACAAACAGTTAATAATAAGTTAAGCCTACATTAAAATAACGCCAGTTGCTAACAACAAAAGTTCCTTCGACCAGAAATTTCCTTCAATCTTGTCAAGACCAAGAACTAATAAAATTGAAGTTATCTTAAGCACAGGATTCTAGGCTAAGTCTTCCCAGATTACAGCGAAATTTATGTAACTACATTTACATCGAGCGCCCTTAGCCTACAGAACTTGCTTGAACTCCCTATGTATAAATAAATTACGTTCCCACACCGCCTCTTCCATCAAGCCCTTTCAAATAAATTCCGGAGTAAAGTGATAAACAATAAAATACAATGCCATGCCTAGATCCCATAAATTTTAATAAGGAATTTACCACATAAAGACCACTTTTCCGCTTGTTAAATAATGGTGTCGTACTTAAATCAAAGCATGAATATGATATAAAGGGACAAGCTGTTGCGATTGCGTGTCCTAAAGCGATCGATGAACAAGTTCTTTTGATGTACAACAATGCTAATGAGATAATTAATGAACCGCTGGAAAAACCTGTTTTAGTCACCAAATGAATAAATATTGTTGTGGAAGAACCAGAAATTATTGGTTTGAATGATTTATTGACAGTACTGATTGGTAAATGTCTGGAAAAACAAACAGTTTTAAAGGCAATAATGAGCATATGAGATTCTTAATTCATTATTTTAATAGCTGTAACTACATATACAAACGATTACATCGTACATAATCACAAAGCTCCACCTGCCATTTTGTTTACTTTAAGTTGACACATCCAAATCACACACACGAGCTGTTTGTGAGCACTTCACATCTGCCCTTTTAGTTGATGACAACGATTAACGTTTCTTTTTCAAAAACTTAAACTCCAACGATATCTTAGTACTAAAAATCAACATTAGAAAACAAAAAAGTCCTCTTCGAAGATTGGTTCTTACAGTGACAATAAAGATAGCCACTGTAGTGCAAATGCTTTTAATATTGTAACCACGAGTGACAATTTGTCAGTTCAATTGATATTTCAACAGACACACTTGGGCTAACAGCAATTTGCATAGAGAATCATGGACTGGCCTGCCTCAACGGATGAAGATGTCGATCATCATCTTAGAAGCGTAGTTTAGCAAATTGAGTAATTGATCTGTCTGAAGCTATTGGTCTGGAAAATAGGTTATGGCAATAAGCGAGATGTAGACGATTCTTCAATTTTCTTTCATTTCTAACCTATTTTTTACTTGTCCGTATTTGGTGAATTGAACGCTTTTGAACCTTTTTAAGTTGACGTATTTAGATCAACACTGTAAATTGAGAATAAAGTGTTAATTGGCTAAAAGTTAAAAGTATCTGTTACCATACCAGATACTTTTATGGACGAATAAAGAATTCCAATGAAATGGCTAGTTTGCTAAAGGTTCGCTGATTTAGAATATTTTAATATTTCGAATAATTCCGCGAGATACAATGTAACTTCTATGTATTGTGTCTTATTACCAACACTCAACAGGTTAATACTTCATTGGCCAAGAAAGCATCATGGAATACATTTCTCTATAAAAAAATCCATTTTAGTATTGAATAATTGATACTTTTCCATGTCAGCGCATTTTCCAGGCCAAGGAGAAAACCAAACAATTCTTTCACCGTAGTATCACCTTCGGTG